CAGTTGGATTCATGGGAGGCATTGTTATGAGCTCTGAGTATTCAGCTCAACTCATGTAGGACATTGCTGTGGGATCCAGGCCCTCAGCTGGATTCCTTGGTCTTAGTGTGTGGACAGATTCCCTGCACTCTTTTGTATACTGTTCTTTGGGTGACTTATAAATAATCATATAAAGTATGTGTCCTGTGTTATGTTGTTCCCCTTGCAAAATAAGCACCAAACCGACACAGCAGTCAAAGTATCCAGTCAGCAACTACCTATTAATCGACTTATTGATGTAATGGCCTAAATACAGAGGTTCCAGGTGATGAAGACAGGCAAATTTAAACAACCTGCATTACATACTCCATGCAAGGAAGTGCTCGGCCACATTTATATAACTCAACACCTGAAAGTTACTTTTAAATTCTGCATCATCAGTCTTTATCTAACTCTCTGACAGTTCATTGCATAGTATTAAACACCCCATTCCAGTCTGGTTTTGGATTTTAGACATAATAATAGATTTGAGATTGACTCTAATTTTTTAAAGTGAGGAAAGAATGGAAAAAATTTGAGGTAGGTTGCATTTTTCCAATACTCATAGCAAGTTGCACAGCAATAAAATGCTGATATTTAAACAATTCACAATGCCTTAAGAACTAATTTAGACTTCCTTTTTACAAAATATTTTGAATAAAAAAATTGTAAAGGGTAACCAGACATATTAAATAGTGCAAACTTTCAAACTGATACCTCCATTTAAAAATTTCTCATTTTTCTCCCTCCATTCTAGAACTATGATCAACTAACACTATCCATCAGAGACTCTGGCTGGGACTCATGCCAACATCACAAATTGCCACCTTATCACAACTCCTTAGCTTCTTTCTCTCTTTACCATTTTACTTTTAAAAGGAAGGGCTTAAAAGAAAAGAGAAAGGTTTGTACATCAAGTGAGCTTAGTTGGAAAGATGCAAAAAGAGTAATGAATGACAGTCAGAAACATGACACTTTCTTGGCATTCCCTGCCTCTTGGTATGTATGGAAATCATTTCAGTATTTCTACCTCAGTAAAGAGAACTCTAATAAAATTGGGATGAAAGGATTTCTCCTTCTGACATTTCTTTTTCCCTAAATATATTTGAATTTGAGGACAAGTAAAACAAACATCGTTCCTATTTTGTGCAGGTCTCCTCTTTTCTGGGCTGCTTTTCCAGCCACCACGCATACTGAATCCGAGAATATGCTCCATCTGCAAGTGGATTTCATGAAGGTGTGTGTGACACTATTTTTAAGTACCTTTACTGATGAAACTTCAGAGTAGAAGGTAAAGTTGCAGGAAGCTGCTCTACCATGACATATCTTACAGTAGATTTTGTTCAAACTTACTGGGTAGGGAATGTGAGTGGGTGGGAAACTTGCTTTATTCTATGTTGGATGCTGTATCACAGAGATTGTCTGCCTATCTGGGGCAAAAATGAATCTGCAAAGATATGAAACATTACAGAGAGATCTGTTGAATTTTAAGGTTAAGGTAATGGTTCTTAAAACATCCAGACGTAAAAAGAAAAATACCTACTTTAGTCCCAAAACTGTGACCGGAGATCTTTATCAGACATTTCATCAATTTTGCCCAAACTCCTAGGGAAAGTGAAAAAATGGACACACTAGCTAGCTTGTTTTGTGGAGTCACAAAAACTCGGTATAAATATTTAAGAAAAAATTACAAAAACAGGAATATTACAGAAGAGTTTATCTCATGAGCAATGATTAAATAAACTTTAAAACTCTTAAAAAGACATTCAGTCTAGATATTTGTAAGAGAGATACCGCAATTTATTTTAGAAATATTCATTACAGGAAGAAAAATCCCCAAGTAGATTGAAAGATTCTGTTACTAGATTGGATCTGAGGATGTTTTCAATGAATACTCTACCCAACATTTCCCTGCAATTGCAATTAAAACACCAGCTTTTTCCTCATGAGAGTAGTTTTTGGCTTACTCTGAATATATACAGAAAAAAAAAAGCCCCAAAAGCAAGAGAATCTTGAAAGGAAAATAACGTCGCGATAGTGAATTACCAAGAAATAGTAAAACATTAGACTTACAGTATTTTATTAAGATAATGATAAATTTATAGACCAATGGAACAGAATATATGATTGAAAAAAATCATATATATATATGGTGCATAATTCATAGGTAAGTAAAAGATCCTTTCCTGTGAGTTTAAAAGATTTATGATAATGATGACACTAAAATTGAAAGGGAAGGTGAATTATTTTCACACTAAAGATTCTGGACCTTACATATCATTATAAAAATAGTCATTTATGACTCCTATCATACAGAAAAATCAACATTAGCTGGAGACTGTAGATCAGAATGTGAAAACTAAGAGGTGGGCATGGTGACACATACCTGCAACCCTAGAACTCAGAGAGGATAAGGCAGAAAGATTGCTCAGCACAACCAGGGCAAGCAGACAATTTAGCAAGATGCTGTCTCAAATTCTAAGTAAAAATCATTATAATAATTAATACTAATCTTACTACTACTACTACTAATAATAATAATAATGGGCTAAGAATGTAGCTCAGTCACAGAATCTGGGTTCAATTCTAGTACTGAAAAAATAGAAGAAAGAGAAAAAAAACAAAGCTACCATAAGAAGCTTTTCAAAATACCTTAAAATTTGTAAGATCATCATTTTTAAATATTGTCATGAACTTAAGGTAAGCAACAATTCCTTAATCAGAACACATAAAGTACTATTTACAGAGTATAAAATAATAAATGTTACTACCTTCAAATGTTAAATTTATATCTATCAAAATATAGCATCAAGTGATAAAGCCAAACTCAGGAGAAAATAACAATCCACATCTCTCTCTCTCTCTCTCTCTCTCTCTCACACACACACACGCACCACACACACATACATTATGTGTCAAGAATATATTTTAAATACAACAAAGCAGCAAAAAAAGGAAAGATCACAAAATACAAAAAATGTGCAAAAGTCTCAAACATATATTTGAAAACAAAAAGGAAGGCTCAAAATGGTTCACAGAAAAAAATGTGCTCACAATTTCACAGGCAAATTAAAACTAAAAGAAGAAACAACTATATACCCCCCAGGAAGACAAAACCATAGATACTGAAATTAACAAGTAGCCAAGCAGGAAACTCTCATATACTGCTGATGAAAGTAACATTTATTTAATTACATTAGTTGGAATGGATTCAACCAGGTAGCAAAATTGTTTGACTTACATATTATATAATTGTTCACAATACATATATTTTATGACCTTTCTATCTTAAAGACATATACTCAAAAGAAACATGTATATTCTTTTACCAAAGACAGGAAAAATAATGTTCTCAGCAGCATCACTTATAGTTCTGGTGCAGAAAAACATCAATGATCATTAAATGAATTACATGAATAAATTATAATGAAACATAATAAACTCTTTATGGCTATGTGGATGTACACACTTCCACATAACACAATACAGATGAAACATTTTTAGTACTGAGCAAGTAAAGATATATACTGTATGTTTTTCATTATATGAAATTCAAAAATTGACTAAATTAGTTCAAGATACTGTTTCCCTTTGCATGAAGAGATAATGACTACAGAGCCATGAGAGTTTTTTCTTCTTGGTGGCAATGTTCCATTTTTTCACATTGATGCTGGGCACAAAAACAAGTCACTCTTGAAAAGTATCAAAGGCTCCACATTTATAAATTTTACATTTTTATACTTGAAAACTACACTTCAACATATACTTTTTTGACAAAATGTCAAGTAAAACATTGTTAGAGGATTTATTTTGGTGATATTTAAAAAGTGGATCTAATATTTTAATGAAAATGCAAATGGACAAGAAGCTCCAAGGCACTCTTGCAAAGGAGGAATAAGACAAGAAGCTTTATTCTATAAAATAGGAACTTATAGAAAAGACAACAAGTAAGATGAGGTTGGTACAAGAACAGGTGAGGAGAGTAGAACACAACCATCCAGAAAGGAGACCACATGTGCGAGGCTCCTCACCCTGTGCAGCAGTTCACACTGCAGAGCAATCTTTGCAATAAACTGGGTCAAACAACAGTCCAACAAGAATAGCACACCTCCATAAATTACAATAAGTAACTCTCATCCAGAATATAGGAGAACTCATAAACAAATAATAAAAAGAGAAAGAACTAATATTAAAAATATATATAGGCAAGAATGTCAAACAGAGGCTGGGTGTAGATCATTAGTAGAACGTTCCTAGGATGCACCGGGTTCAATCAGCAACACTGCAAATTTTTTAGGAAAAAATATGAGAACAAAAGCTGAACAGAAGCATCCCCCCAACATATGAAAATAGCAGATAAATTTTTGAAAAAAGAGCTCAATTTCAGACATCACAGGAAACTAAACAAAATAAAATGAGAAAACTTTACAGATTAGCAATAATTTTTGAAACTTTGAATATCAGTGTTAGAGACCAGGTGGAATAATTAGAACTTGCACTCTGCTAGGGGAAATGTCAATTCTCAATGATTACTTAGGGCAGCTCCATGTAAAAACAATGAATTAATAAAATTAGAATCTGGTGTAGTATAAAGTTTTTCATCATTGCGACACATTTACATGATACAAGTACTTTAAAGGAAGAAACATTTACCATGGCCCTTGGTTTCAAAAACTTTAGCCCAAAATCAGCTAGCTTCGCCACCGTCAGTCCTGTGGCACAGAACAAACGTGGTGGAGGAAATGTGTCGGGGGGAGAAGCTCCTCCCCTTCTGGCAAGCAGGAGATAGGTAAAGGACTAGAGACAGGAAAGGACCGGATCCTAGTATACCCTTCAAAGGCAAGGCCCCGGGGACCTAGTTTTGCCAGTTAACCCCACCTTCTAACTGCCCACACAGCCAGTAAACTCACCAGTGGATTAACGTACTTGATAAGATTACAGCCCCTGTGATCGAAACCTCCAACATAATAGATTTTGGGGGTCATTTTGGATACCATCTGTAACACTGTGAGGGGGAAATATGAGAAAGTAAAACAGTAAAAGTATATGTATGTTTCTTATACTATTTATTGATGTTGTTAAAAGTCAATTGTGTAGATTATGAGAAGTATCTTTAACTTATTTTTTCCTTTTTCCAAGAATATTTAAAGTTGAATGATTTTTTTCATTTTATCTTCTTCTGGTAAAAGATTGAACATTAAATTCATATTTGTCATTTAAACGATTTTGGTAGTATTATACAATTAAATAAAACATTTACATCTTTGTACATATGGAAAAATGAATGGAACACTAAATGTTAAGCAACTTTATTTCTGAGTGGTTAAATATGGAAAGACTTCTAAATGTTCATATTTCCATCTATACATTGTTTAAATTCTTCATAAACAATTTAGTCCTGTTATGCTAAAAATAGTAAACACCATTTTAAAAAGTGGAAGCACATAGGCTAAGTTTTGTTTTCACTTTTATTACTTGTGCAGTACATAATTAGTAAATTCACTATAGGGAATTGGTACATGTACATATAACATTTCAATTCCTTTTTCCTTTTCCTCAACCCCGTTTAATTTTCCTCTATCAGATTCATTTATGTGTCTTATAAGATCTTATTCATCATATGTAGTCTGAACATGAGACTAACAAGTCCAAGAAAGCATAGAAAATGTAAGACAATTACACTAGGTCCCTAGATAAATTATGTACACTGAGTCACAATACCACTTGTTTCCTTTTCTATTTTTGTCCTGTTCTCTGTTCTTTATTTTGTAATATTTGTATGTATATTTATATGTATGTATGTTTGAGGGCATATATCTCCAAAAGGGGAATAGCTGGGTCAAATAGAATTTCTATTTTTAATGTTTTTTGGAATTTTCATACTGATTTCAATGTCATTGTATCAGTTAAGGATTCCACTAACATTGCAAATGCATTCCTTTCTCTCCCCAGCCTAATTTCGACCTTAAGATGGTGGCCTACCGGAGTGTGTCAGGTTAATGAAAGGTTATGGCAATGATGAGAATAAAGGCAGAGACATCAGAAGTAGGGTGTTGCAGTTGGAGGACATGCTAATCAGCACCCCGTGATGACAGTATCAGAAATTGCGGCAGTGATTCACTCTGTAACTTTTTTCCTAAGCTTCTCTGTGATCCAACAAACTGCTATCCAATTAATGTATTCTGTTTTTGCAACAAAAAAATCAATTTTTCTTTGTTTGACTCTTATTCTACTAATAGAGTGGGCAGTCTTATCATTCTGAACTTTATGCTGAAATGAGCTATAGACTATACGAGTTGCACATGCTCCCTTACATATTATTAAGTAAAAGGAAACTACAAAAATCTACATAGCTAATATAGTACAATATAAAATTTTAGCATACATTATGATCATATATTGTATAGAATTTTTCCAGAAGATCTAAAAATGTCATATCACAGTGATATATGTGCACCTATGTTCATAGCAGCACAATTTGTAATTGCTAAATTGTGGAAGCAACCCAAATGTCCATCCACTGAGGATTGGATAAGAAAATTGTGGTACTTTTATATAACGGGATATTACTCAGCTATAAAGAAAGACAAACTTGAGGCTTTTATAGGTTAATGGCCACAACTAGAGACCACCGTCTTAAGGTCAAAATTCACAAGAGCATGCAGGTGATAGAACTTCAACCTTGTATCCTAGGCTCAGATGCAAAGGATTGTGAAGAGCAGCTGTTTTGCTGCCCATCACCTCTTTTGGTATGTCTGTCAAATGAAAATGGTACTCATATCTCAGAATATGGAACCTGAATCTAAAAAAGGCAAAATAACAACAAGCCCCAGCCTTTTAAATTTAATGTGCACAGGTAGTATCCAGGAATCTTGTTATAAAAGTACAAATTACCATTCAGGGGGTGTAAGATGGAGACTTAGAGGCTAAATATCTTACAAAATCTTAGATGATACTGATGCTAATATGCCAAACTTATTGGATCAGAGCTCTCTACTGCTTTACCTGCTTCATAGCGCTTAGTAAATTATCCTTAGTTAAAATTTTGGTAAGGATGATGTGTTCATCTTTGGTACTCAGGACAAGAAGGTATTTGAATGTTGGTTAAACACTGGATTGAGTGAACAGTGACTGAATCAATAAATATTTCATTTTATTTTGTCAGTAAATATATATCAATCTTCAGGGAATAACTAATTTTTCTTTTTCCTATTCCTTTAATTTCTATACCACTCATTTTTTTTTTGTACAACCAGGAGCAGACCATTAGGTTTCCTGTAGAAAATTTTTGCTCACTTTCTTCCTTAATGAAATTTAAACCACCACATAGCAAATAGCAGGAATTCAAAAAATTATCCCCACTGAGTTGTGGTTACATCCATACGTTTTCTACTTCTGTAGAGTCTTCATTAAATTATTTAACCTTCAAATCAAGCAGTAACAAATGATGTTAATTAATGATTTGCTATTCCATTTTCTAGAGAATAAAAGTTTAATATTGTCTATCTTTTTCATGCAGTATGAAACAGTTATACAAGTATTCTTTTTGTTCCTCCCAATTATCTTTGTACTAGTGTCCCTTCCTAGCACTATATAACCAATATATAATTTGTTAACATATGAAATAGCCAGGAAAAGGAGTAAAGATAACAGTCTGATTTTTTTTTGAAAATCATAAACATTAATTTTTCTCTGTTTTATATTCAGATTTTTTGAGAATCATAATCTCATCTCAAAGAAATATTCAGTGAATGTAGAGGAATGGCAAAAAATACAAAATATTTTATTTTATTTTTTTATTTTAAAAATAAAAGGAGGAAAACATTAACAGACAGACAACCTTTTAAAAATCTAATGTTTTTAGATCCTCTGAGAAAATACCCAGCAGGGGGATA